GAGTGTGAGTGTGAGTGTGAGTGTGCCTGTGCCTGTGCCTTTGCTCGTGGTCGCTCCGGTGTTGCGGTGGGGCACACGCCCGACTCACCACTCTGCGCCCGGCGTATCTCTGCGCCAGGGCCGACGCGGAACCGGCCCCCGCCATGGCCCGGTCTCGGTAGGGGCACGGGAGCTCCCCGCTGGTGCTGGTGGTGCTGGTGCCGTTGTTGCTGCTGCTGCTTCCCAGCCCCCACAGCCAGTCGTTGTACCAGGGACAGTGCCGATCGACGCCGTCCCCGGGAACCGGACGCCGAAAGACCCTGCTCCCGTCCCTTGCGTTCCCGCGGACTGCGTTGCTGCTATTGCTATTGCTGGTGATGCTGTTGCTGCTATTGCCATTACTGCTGCTGTTGCTGCTGCTGTTGCTGCTGGACCCTTCGGTCCCTCCCGGCCCGATCCGACCGGAGGCCCCGAACCACCGGCGGCCGTCGAGATAGGCGTAGCTTCTCGGATTGGCCACAACGGCCCGCAGGCTCGTGGCCTTCCAAGCCGGGCTGTCGGAAAGGAGTGCCCAGCGCTGGACCAGCTGCCCCCCGGCTGGTGCCACCCGGGAGCGGCGAGCGAACGGCAAACCAACCAAAACCAAACCAAACCAAACCAGAACAAAAGAGAACAAAGTAAACCAAACCAAAACAACCACCGTGTGAGTGCCTGCGTGCGTGCTTGCTTGCTCGTTGGAAACCAAAGGTGGTGGCCGTCCGTGTCACTCGTTTGGCCCGTGGTGCCTCGGGTGCGCCCCGGTGGGCAGCAGCAATAGCAATAGCAGTAGCAGCGAATAGTAGCTAGTAGCTCGTAGCTCGTACGTACGTACCAGAGTGGCCGGCAACGGTGATTTGGCGCAGCCTCGGAAAGCGGTCCCTCGACGCCGAAAGGTGCCCGACCATCTGGTCGAGGACTTTGAAGCTGCTCACCGGGGCGTTGGCCGCATCGGCGCCGTACCGCCAGGTGTGCCACAGAACCGTCCCGTAGGCCTCGGCCCCGTCCTCCCACACCAGGGCCCGGTGGCTGCTGTTGTTGTTGCTGTTGCTGCTGCTGCTGGTTGCGCTTGTGCTTGCGCTTGCCTTTGCGTCGTCGCGGACCGAGGCAAACCTCGGGGCGAGGACCCCCACGGTTGTGGCGTTCTCCCCCTGTGCGAGCGAGAGCCCCGCGCAAAAGTAGTCGTCGGCGTCGCGGAGCGATCCGTGGACGAGGAGGAGGATTTGTTCCACGTTTTGGGAAGAGACCCTGCCCGCGCCCGCACCGCCGCCGCTGGGTTCCCGGCCTCCGTGGTGGCTTCCATCGGTGCTCGCAACAATGGATCCAAGGTTGGAGTAGTAGGCGAGATGGAACTTGTCGGCAGAGGCCTCGTTCTTCGTCTCGCCCGGGGAAACCGTTACCGGGAATTCGTACTCCTTCGTGAGTTCCGGTGGGATGCGGCAGAGGCMGTACCGAGGAGTATCGCGTGCCGAGGGATCGAGGAGCAGCGTCTCGTTGGTAGCCTTGCAGTACGGTGTGCCGTTGCTGTCGTTGTTCCTGTTGCTGTCGTTGTTGCTGTTGCTGTTGCTGTTGCTGTTGCGATCGAGCCCTTCGCCAATGGTGGCTGTTAATGTTGTCCTAAGCAAGGAGCGCTTGGAGACATTGGCAACAGCGGGAGTGTCAGTGGCAGTGTCATAGTGATTGTAATTGTAATTGTAATTGTAATTGCCACGGGCAAACGCGCACTCGTAGCCAAACCGGCACCCGGAATCCCCGCCCTCGCAGCAACGGCCCGGTTCGCCGCCCGGGCCGGGGTGGTCCGAGTGGAAAAGGGGGATGCACGCCGACCCCACCCTTCCGGGCTCGCTCTCGGCCACCGGGCAGCAGGTCGTCCCTTCGGGGCAGGTCCCCCCGCCCCCTTCCTCCGGACAGGCTTTCCACGCTTGCGCAGGGGCGGGGCCGAGCGCAACGCCGAGCGCAACAACGCCGAGGGTCCCCAGGCGAAGGAGGGGAAACCAGCGAAATCGAAATCCCATGGTTGTTATCGTATCGCACGGTGTGTTTGTTGCCCGTCCGCGCTGGTGGTTGTCGAAGGTTGTGTTGCTCTTTGTTTGCCTGTGTGTGTGTTGTGTGTTGTTTGTTGTGTTTTGCTCTTTGTGGGTAAGATGCCTTGGATGCATCGATTCGCATCCGTCGCGTGCGGTATTTTTGTGTCCGTTTGTGTCCTTGTGTTGTGAAAGCGAACAATGAATGAAGCTTCTCGTGTCACAAACTGCTGGATCGCGGAAGGCTTGCGTTGCGGCTACGAATAGTACTCGTACTACTATTCCGAAGGGGAAGACCACTCCACTTTTCAAAACCGTGTATCGTACTACCTGGTAGGGCGCAAGTGTGACTTGATCGTGATTGAGACTCACTAGTACGTACCGGTATGAAGCGTACCAGTACTCGTACGCGTACGCATTCGATTCATTCAAACTCTGGGAACTGCTTGTACGTATCGTACATTACCCCTGCCGTACAGTACGTACTATCCTCTACCCTAGCAATAGTACGTTGTTAGTATGGGTACCATTCGTACCCTACTATTGTCGCGCACCCGAACATTTTCGTTTTTTCACGCGCAAAGGCAATTCGACAAAAATATTCGGTCGAAGAAAAAAGGACCGTTGTTTTCCCAAAGCCTCCTTCAACCAAGAGCCACGTGTAATGCTACTCGTACCTTGACGTTCCGGTCGGTTCGTTGCGTTGCTTTCCAAAACACGGGGACACATTTCACACACGGAAAAATACTCCCTCACATCATTTTTTTTTCGTCGAGATTCTCTGATTGCCGAAGCCTTCGGGTGTTTCACCCATCCGTATCGATCACAAAGGAAAGAGAAGACACAACTGCAATAACACTAACATACCTTGCGAGACGAGAGAGTGAAAAGACAACCTTGTGGCAAATCCGACGAACCGACACCGAAAATTCTACAAACCAACAACAACCTTGGCGTTCTTGAAGCCCAAACGACCCTTGCAACAAGGCCGAGTTTGAGATGACAATATAACCCAGAGACTGAGTGACTGAGTGAGTGAGTGAGCGAGCGAGCGAGTCCATCCGTTAGTACCGTACCAGCAACCAACCCGGTCCCGATCGCCGAATCCATAAGAGACTTTTGCGCAACCACCATGTTCGACGTGACCAACTTCTTGATGAGATGGCTCTTCCTGAGCAACCTGGTCCGGGACATTGCCGAGATCCAGATACTCCCCTACAMCCCCRGCGCGCCACAATCGCCGCCGCCGTTGACGCCCGTCGGCCACGACCCCCACCAAACCCGCTCCGATCTTTCCCYGGTGCCCTCACTGTCCACGGGGACCAGCGTGAGCTGCGAGGACGAGTGGAGGGACCAGTGCCTCAGGGGGATCCTGTCGTATCCACCGGGGTCCCAGCGGCTCCTCATCGTGGACGCCATGAGGGCCGAGCTGGTGGAACGACTCTCCTGGTCCCTGGCGGAGGCGGACCAGACACTCGACAACCACGAGATGGTACGCCGCCGGAAGGAGGGCCGAAGCGAAAACAACAAAGGGAGGGACGGACCGGAAGAAGGCTTTTCTTCGCAAGAGGAAGATACGTCCAGCGGCGGTGAAGAAACAACAACAACTACTACTACTACTACCGCCACAACAACAGACTCCCCGGACACGGACATCGAAMCAAACGTCCGAATAAAAGAAGAATGCACACCGCCCGGTTCCGCGGCGGACTCCACGGAAAACGCCCGGGGCGAAGCAAACGAAGCCGAGCGAGACCCCRMRMCGGGGAAAGACGGTGCGTCCGGCRAAGAGGACGAAGAAGACCATCCCGAACCGACCGCCGAGGAAGTCGGCGACGCCCAAAACACRATACGGGTCGTCCGCGACTACCTGCCGCAGCTCGTTTCCGTGGTGCTCAAGTCYCCCCCCGCCTTTGACCCGAGGCTGGTCAACCCCGTGGAGAAGCTGCGGAAACTCATCGTCCGGCGSTGCGTCGACGACGCCAACTGGGGGGTCGACATGTGCTGGCTGCTGGAGGCCGAGGTRGGGAGGGCCTGGAAGTCCCTCTTCGAGCACCGGCAGCAGACCGGGAGGCGCCTCATCATCGTCCTTCCCGCCGACAAGGCCGCGGTCCTGGCCACCATCGGGTCGGGCAAGAAGGAGTCCTTCGACCTCCTCCAGGACGCCGAGCAGGCCACGGCGTTTGGCTACACGATCCCGCTGGAAGGGAGCCTCCTGTACCACCGGRACYYCCCGGACMAGGGCMRGGACGACCATTCCCGCCTTTTTGCCCGCCAAAAACTCCCGTCGAGCCTCAGCCTCCGGCGGTGCAGCCACTTTGGGGACACGATGCACTTTATCGATCGGCTCACCAAGATATCCCTCGACCTGCGGAACGTTCCGCCCGTCCACCGCAACGCCTACCTGCAGGACAGCCTGAGGGAGCTGAACCGGAGGGTGCGGAGGCGGATGATCACCCGCGGGGACGTCAGCCTCGACGTCGAGGACCACCGCGGCCCCGACGACTGGCCGGCGATCGCCGACGTCACGTCCGACATGCTGATGTACTCGGTGCATCTCCCCCTGGATCCCATGGTGAGTACGGYACGGYACGGTACATCGAAGGGCACGGCACCCCGGTTGGGGTTTTGACCGACCGAGAGAAACAAATTTCGACCCGCTCGCTCACCCGGCAATCCGTCCTCCCGTTTTTGTTGTGTTTGTGTTTTGTCTTTGTCTTTGGAACCAATCGTTGCCCGCTTCGACTCGACTCGACTCGACTCGACTCGACTCGACTCGACTCGACTCGACAGCAAAACAAGGTGTGGCCCGGAACCGCCGCGACGCCGTCCGACCAAACCACGGAGGGCGCCGTGCGGATCCTGAACATCGTGTGGGAGGAGGCCCGCGTGCTGTCGTCCCGGGAGCGGTGCCCCTACCTCGTCCGCGTCGAGGTGGCCGACACGAACCTGCGGGGGAACGATTCCCGGCTCTACGCCTCCGGCGCGCCGGGCCTGGGGGCCACCATGGAGGAAGCCCTGGCCATGGCCGAGGGTGCTTCGGGCGGCGGCCGGGGGGATCCAGGATTCGAACACTACGAGATTCCCTCGGAGCTCCTGGCACCGGGGAAGCCCCGCGGCACCAAAAAGCCCAGCGCCGTAACGATACGAACGAAAGACCTCCTGGTGGACGTCCCCCCGAAGGAGATGCCGAGGGGGGGCTGGCAGGCCGACGAAACGGTCTTCTACTCCCACAGCCCCGAGGACGTGTACCCCACCAATTCGTACGACAGCGTTCGCGAAGACGAACTCGAGCAGCTGCACTACCAGATGCACAACGATCCAATGTACAACGAGTACGGCGTGGGTGCSCAGTCGCCACCCCCACCCGCACACCAAAGGTACGTCACGGAAAAAWWTTYGAAACACGCGACACACAAACAGGGTTCGGCAACAAGCTCGAATCATTTCGACTCACGCACACGCCGTTCATCGTTTGTGAAAGTCCKTCTCTCTCSACGCGAGGAGCGCTSTTGGATAGGATATTTGGACAACCATTGACCGATAAGTGCGAAGAGATTCGACAGGCCTCGCCCTWTGGAAAGGTCGAAGGGTGGCGTCTTGCCTCGTTTATCATGAAAGCCGGAGAGGACATTCGGAGAGAAGCCCTTGTCATGCAAATCATTGCAAAGCTAAACGACTGGTTCAAAACCGATATTCCGGAACCCTACCGCCCATACATGCGTCCCTACACCATTATGTGTGTTGGAGGGGATGCSGGCATCGTAGAGTGCCTCGCAGATGCCAAGAGCATCGACGAGGTCAAAAAAGGCACGGACGGGTTCCAGAGCCTACGCGATTATTTTGAGCGCGCGTACGGACCTCCCGGAACCTACGGCGGTGCTYACCAACAACAGMAACAGCCCGGAACAACCACGGAGACCTTGTCGTTCGAAGAAGCGCAGGACAATTTCCTTCGCTCGCTCGTTGGATACAGCGTGATTTGTTACATACTKCAAATCAAAGACAGACACAACGCAAACATTTTGATGGATCGTTCGGGGAACATCATTCACATCGATTTCGGTTTTGTTCTGGGCGATACACCCAAGATGTGCAAGGTTCCTATTTTCAGTGAAAAGGCACCGTTCAAACTGAGCGACGAGTACTGGGACGTGCTGGGGGGCTGGAACACGAACCAGGGCGGCCTGGGAGTGCGATTTTGCCACATGTTCGAGCACGCATTCGCCTGTGCYTCSGCCCACTCGGAAGAAATCGCGGCGCTGGTGGAAGCCACCATGCTGACCATGACGCAGAATTCCCGCCAGGCCAGGGCACTCGCCAACGGCGTGCGAAAGAGACTGAAAATGAGGGGACCGCCGGGATCGAACGAACAGAAAGCCTTTGTCATGGAGCTCGTRAATGCGGCTCGCACTAGCATGGGTACTACCACGTACGATTGGCTGCAAAGGAATATGAATGGCTATCAATAAGCTAGGGATATTTTAAAAAWTAGAACACTTTGTCGCATTCCGTYGTACAGAGTACCCAGTATCCGTCTAGCAAACTCGTTTCTTAATTATCTTCGGTGGTACAGTAATATTGAACAACAGTGTCTCTTGYGTTGCTGGGAACTTCTACCGTACAGTGACCATCATCTCTGCTTCCTGTTCTTGCTGTTGGCYGTTGGTTGAGARGGCAATTTCCGCCAAATCGCGTGCGATATCGAGTGTTGCGGAAGGTCGCGCTGCGGATAGGGCTGCGTGTTTCATTTCCCGAAGTTTCTCGGGGGATCTCAGCCAGGAGCTCACAGTGGCTGCAATTTCGTTCGGGTCACTGCTGTATCTTCCAAAACCAGCTTCTTCTACGAAAGGTATATTGCCTTCTTCTTGYCCGGGCCTGATAGAGGGAGCGACAAGAAGGTAAGTGATACATATATCAGTAAATTCAATGCATACTAGGACAGAGATGCAAACTAGCAACTTACAGAAAGGCGAACAACATACAAGGAAGGCTGCAAATTGAAGCCTCGGCAATGGTACCAGGACCAGCTTTCGTGACGAGACAATCACTRGCTTTCATCCATTCGTCCATATTGCGTACAAACCCTTGGACGTTTACTTCCACTCCTTTCGGCCAATCCATCCCTTTGAGTGTTTGCTGCGCTTGTTGGTTGTTCCCGCAAACAACAACCATTTGATAGTCTGGATTATTGGTATTGCTGCCGTTTTGATTTCCAAGCGTTTTTCCCAACGTGGAAGCAATATCTACGATCCCACCCATGCCATCACCACCACCAACGACGAGGACGGTAGGGAGGTTGCTGATACCYAAATCTTGCCGCACTTCGGCAACGACAGAACTGGCATCGCTCTTGCTTTTTGATTTTGGCCAGAATCCCTTTCGAATAGGAAGGCCGTACTGCACAATCTGGGAAGAACTATCCAGTCCACGGGATTGAGCCTTCTCATTTAAAACATCCGATGGAACAAAACATTTATCGACATCTTAACCGCAAAAAATAACCATTCGATCAGAAATAACAAGAGGTTCGTTAGTGAACTCACRTACGCCAAGATATATCGCCGCRCCTATCCAAAGGCAAAACACTGCACTTACCAGGATTGAACCATGTCGTGTGCGCACCACCCAAGTCGGTAACAACGGTGGCAAATGGAGTACTTCTTTCGGCATCAGCATCCAGATCGGCCAAAATCTTCAAAGGAAGGTCTTGGCACAGCGGATGCACGGAAACCACCATATCGGCTCGCTGTTGCGTCGACTCGAATTTGCGCTCCATGCATTTCGTAAATGCGTCGTAACAAAACACATCTAGCATCCATTCGTTCAATCGAAGGCCAAATCCGGTTTCACCAAATTTGTAGAACAAGTCCCAACTCCAAGAGTATTCTGCCATGAGCTTGTACATTCGCACTAGGTCGTTGTACGGCCAGAAGGGACCGTATTCTGTATAGATATCTACAATGTCGCATTCGAATTTGCCTGGATACAGGGAATTCAGGGCGTCTTCCAAGGCAATTGCGCTGGCCAGATGACCGCCGCCTGTCGCGCTCATGAGGATCTGCACCGTGTAGACTCTGTCTACATCTTGATCGGCATTGCATGAAGACGGATCATCGAAAAAACGGRTCCCCGATGTAGATTGTAGCCCACTGGCAGTACCAGTAACGGCAGCAGCGACTGAATTCAACAACGGCTTGTGGTCGCTAGCTCTCGAARCATAAGAAAAACTGCTGGCTTTTTCCTGCCAAACAAAGGAAGGTGTGAAAGCATCTGAGAAGAGAAAAAGCGATTGGGTGGACAAGACAATTAGGACAGACCACCGTACTGCTTGTCGGACTTTCGTCATCGTGATAGTTTTACTGCAATTATTTTTTACTTTTTGTATTTGGAGGATGTTGGAGAATGAAATTGGAGAATTCAATCTAAATAATATGGATGACCTTTCAGTAACGAAAGGCAAAGGTATCTTTCTTCTAACTTTCTTCTTCCCGATCAACCCCGCTATGAACCGAAGACTCTGATATGGTTGGTTGGTGACTTGTGACGCATTCTATTCTTCATGACGCATGATTTGGTCCACATCCAACGGACCGATGTACCAAGTTCTTGAAGTTCAACATACGGGACTGATCTCAATCCTGAGATTGTCCATGGTCAGTGTATTGAAATTACAAATTATTAATGTTAATATATATTATACATACGAGTGCGATAATCGGAGCGCACATGAGATTTTGATTTTTGACGTGACAGGAAAATTTGAAGACGAAAACGAAAACAAAAACTTCGATACACGATAGCTGTTGACAGATGCGGCAATGACAACCAATCTTCGAATCGTGATGCATCGGTGGCCGATCTTTTCCATCGACTGACTTCCGCATAGTAAATTTTCCATATYATTCGTCTTATGCCGCAAAGAAGACAATGGAAAATCGATTCAATCGCGATTACAGTTTTWCATATTCCTATGACCCCGATCCCAACCGTCRCCCCCGCCCAGAGCAAGACGACATGGCTRCGGTTCGATTCCTGTTGCAAGGGACGGAATCACTGATCCGAAACACCCAAAACAATCGATATGATTCGGGGGAACAATCGCGATTTTATCGRGACGGAGAGCGAGAGGATCGATCCTCGAAGTCATCATTCATTGGCATATTTCCGTTCTTGATAAAGATTTCTGCTTACGGGCTCTTTGCAATCATTTTGATTCTGATTTCATTGGGAGAATTCGGCGTCTTTTATAAACTAGTAATGCCTAAGTTGCATTCCAGTAACGTGCTGTACTTTGATTACACCGGCACTGGTGCTGCAAATCACGTATCAGCGCGGAACCTATACAGTGTTCCTAACGATTTTGCAACCACTACTAAAACAGACACAGGAACGGCACACTTTGGTGTTGATGACGAAGGCAAAGATGACGATATATGTTCCGAAAACCTAGACACTACGTCGACGACGGATACCATGTCTTGTTCTCCTAAGAAACCTTTGGACGAACTTCGAARCAAAGAAGATTACCAAACATCCCGACGCTCGATGATGACTGCTCCCGTCGCTGCTGTGGACCTATTTTCAAACCACAATTCATGGGGACATTAYCACCCAGACGTAGTGCCGTTACCAAAACAAGAGAAACACATTCTTGCGAAGGGGGCTCCCCATTACATCGAAGTTCTCCTTGATTTGCCGGAATCTGAACTTAATCTAGAAAAGATCGGTATGTTTAGTGTCCTCGTTGAATTGCATGCATCATCGATATCACTGCCGAACCTCAATGAGACAGACAACTACAATGGCACTACTACTKCCASAGATACAYCAACTTCCACAACACTCTTGGCTTCGTCCATTCGAACGACAAGAATTCCTCACGAATCGCACTGGATATCGGTCGTTCGCAAGTTCGTTTGCATTATACCCTACGTACTGGGAGCCATCCCCGAAAGTCGAAGGGTGGTGATTCCATCCTATCGATTCTTCGTTGAGAGTGAGGCGTTTCCCCTGCGCTATGTTACGGTCCGCCTCGTCATGTCCCCGGAGAATCAGCGGAGGGGAGAGGCCGTGGAAGTTGGCCAGGGAATCTTGCAGATAGGAGAAGAAATGAGAGGTTTGCAGTTGGTTCTGAAAGAGTGGTTCTTCACATGCCTGGTTGYGGGAACTATTTTCCTCGTTGTGTTCCAATCGGTCTTTCTTCTCGTCTTGCAATCCTTATGGGAGTTGAGGCGGCATCGTTTGCAAGAGCGAGAGCAGGAAGGCATCATACTCGAGGACGACGTTTCTGRGGACTTGGGCCTGAACGGATTTGACGATGAAGCAGGTGGCAACGAAAATGGCGATGGTCAAGACGAATCGTCTGTGGAAGGTTTCCAMGACACGAGGTCCGAACACCAACGCCAACGCCAACACAATACTAGCTATGACATTGACGACGAACCRGGACAATGGGAAGATCTTCCAGAACCGGATCTTGGTTCGCGGAGTACCACATCCAATSAAGTCGACGACSGGAATGGTACGCAACCGACTGCAGACCGGCCAGGAGCACCCACAGAGGAATTMCAACACGTAATACCGGAGGATTGACCAATCTGGTGGTTCTGGCAGCTAGAGAGAGCCAACGCGCAGCATACACAATACCTCAGATACGATTCGTGAACAACTGTACTTTGCAAMKYCYGGAAGGACATTGAACTGGTATGAACGTTTKGGGAGGCYACTTCATTTCTTTGATTCGATTTAATGGTTTCGGTCTATTTTTTCATTAGTTTTCGTCGTAAGYCAGGATGGATAGTATGGTGGTGATGGTCTATTCTTGGATTAGGTTCATTTATAAAGCAACGTAATAGCGATGATAAKATTACAAAATTGAGAAGTGCGGTGTAMATTGCGTCTACACATGGTATTCGTGTGAACGCAAAAGTTGATGCTATATCTCTCCTTTGATGTTCTCGGKTCCAGTGGCTGATGGTGCGCTTACTGTGCTGCTAGCTGTTTCCTCGGCTTGGAAATCTTGGCACAAGTGCAGGTTCCTTTGYTTAAGTTCCTTCAGGGCCGCTTGAAAGTAGGGTCTTGGCTCGGTGATTCGAATGGCCTCGTCAATGTCCACCACTTTTCGCGTTCGGCCTTGCTCGGGCCACTCATCGCAAACCTCGGTAACGTACAAAGGAAACAGACTCATCTTAATGTGTGATTGAGCCAGCGATGTCTCGGACGCGACAGACATGTTGTCACCATCCGAAGACTGCGGCTGATTGACCTTAGCTWGTTTTTCTGGCTGACCTGAAGAACCCTCTTTGTCGGCTGATCCCCCATTWGCATCTTCAGTGGCAGAAGAAACGACTGGCTCCTTGGGGGAGGATGCCGTCTGGGGAGAGGGAGTAGTTCCCTCGTTGGAGGTAGGAGAGACTGCCATGATTCCGGATGATTGTGCCTCGCGTATCTSCTTGACTTTTCGTTGGACTTCTTCGAATTCGATGCGTCTCTTTTTCCCTTTCCTTGTTTCATATGCAATCTCGCTGAGCTTTGGCCCAATSACACCAAAAACACCACCTTCTTCAAAGGTCTCGCGAATGGCACTTTCTTCCATAATCTCGTCATTCTCCCAACCTCCCTTGGGGATAATCCATTCGGCCTTGCGACTAGCTGAACAAAACATTATTCTCCCGTCCTTAAGGATCGGGATACAGCCAGTAGTCATTCGATGAATGATATTTGTCGCTTTGTCGGTGTAATATCGCTGGGTCTGCCTTCCGTTGCGGGAAATCGTTTGGGTCTTCACCTTGAGATTGATTTGTTCCGAGCGTTCCTTTCGAAGCGAAAAGTCGCCATCGGCAAAAGGTGGCATAATCACTTTCTGCTTTGTCTCRACGATACCCTGGTTGCTTGTTCCGGAAGCAGATGCATCTAACAATGCATTCTCGCGCGATGCCGTGGAGGATCCGGAGGAAACAACCGATAACTCTTGCGATCCAGCATCCAGGGGCGACTTGGTTACAGTCTGAACMGGGCTTCCATCCCCGGTGGAAAAGACAAACTTGCGTATTCCCTCGGTTGGCGTCGACTGCGCTCTCAGATTGAGATCTAGGCAGACAGGCTTTGGCTTGATCCTTCCAATCATGTTGCTCATATCCACCTGAACTTGTTCTTCTTTTGCTTGGTGGACGTTCGTCGCGTCAGTACTCATAGCAGATGCCATCCTTTCTTCGSTTCTTTTCTATTTAGAAAGAACAATTGCAGCAGGATCCGTGTTATGTAGTGGAATGACTCTTCTATCTAGCGCATCAACAAGAAAAGGGTTTGGAAAACAATGTTCATGCCCGATGAGCACAACGAGAAAGCTTCTTTGAGACCTACGGAACGCTGAAAATCGATTGAAATCCTTCGCTGGRTGAGAGACTTGTTTGGCTAGCTCCTTGCCGAAAGCTTACTTGTAAGAGATAGTGGAACACTATCAAATAATAGGTTGGGGTTGGGATRTGGGTAGGGTTGGAGGCTTTAGATTACTTCATGGACTAGGGTGCTTTTCTTTGTTGATTGGTTTGCAGGAAAAGTACGAGATTTCGTATTCGTAGCAAAGATRAAGGACTCTGAACCGAGGTGTGATATTTTTTTTCACGGTGCCTCGCACAGTAACGTAGGAAAAGGGGATAAGTGCCACAAGAGCTGATRCGCTGAAAAACTCTCTCTCTTTCGTGAGAGCTCTCAGTAATGGTCGGATGGTTGTTGTTGGGTGTGTACAGTAAGAAATACTACTGGAGAATAAATACCAATACTTACACTAGTGTGAATTATACCGTACTGTACCCGCCGCAAAAAGTTCCCCACCTGAAGAAGCGCAACAAAAACTTMAGACTCTCGAGCCGGCACGGAGAGATCGTTGGGATGTAAACTACGTACCCGGCATTTTCTACYGTAGACCGGAATTGATTGGATCGCAGTCTTCTCGCCGGCGCACCACATATTTGCTTCGCTTTCAAAAAACAGTGGTCTACTCCGCAGTGCAACGTTCGCTCTTTGTWGTCGTGGCTGCTAAAGTACGAAAATAATTCTATCCTTGAGAGGTCGGAAATAAATAATGTCTCCCGCATAGAGTTACTAACTTTGAAGAGGTCTTKTTGACTGGTGAAATTAAGACCGCAGGCTTGGCATCGTTCAAGTTGTGGTAGAAGTATKTCGTTGTAACGTACGAAAATGACCCTCCAATGACCATAATGTGCCAAAAAAGAGTACAGTAGTACAGTAGTTTTACTACTCGTACTAGTACTAGTACTAGTAATATTGATGTTACTGCAACAATCTTTACTCTTGGTTCCTGTTGCTACTAAGCAATCACCAATGAGGTTTGTGTCAAATTTTATTCATTAGTTTTAGTCTCACAATACTAATTAGAGCAATCTAATAAACACTACTAAAGAATACTACTACTACAAAGTACACGTTATTTCGTGCAAATTTGTTCAGTGAGTAAGATTTTTCTTTACTCTCCAGCATTGTTTAGATGTGAGGAGGAGGAGTATTCTTGCTGCTTGGTCGTGTTGTTGGTTTTCTTCTTCTTGTTCTTGTTCTTCTTCTTGCTGGTGGACGAAAAGAACAAGAAGAAGAACCTTCTTCTCCTTCATCTTTGTCTCCTTCCTGGCTGTCTCTTTCTTGTTGATGTTGTTGTTCTTGTTGTTTCTATAAGGACTAGTCAAAAGTACTAAGAGTAGGAGTCATAGTCATA